TATCCACAGTAAAACAAGTCCTATATTGACATAACCTGAAAGGCCGCTCAGCAAGGAAGAAGCCACTGCTCCAAAACTGCCATAAAAAAGACAGACTACGGTTTGCAACTGCACATGGGGACAAATATCGTGCTTTTTGGAGAAATGTCCTCTGGTCTGATGAAACAAAAATAGAACTGTTTGGCCATAATGACCATTGTTATGTTTGGAGGAAAAAGGGGGTTGCTTGCAAGCCGAAGAACACCATCCCAACCGTGAAGCACAGGGGTGGCAGCATCATGCTGTGGGGGTGCTTTGCTGCAGGAGGAACTGGTGCACTTCACAAAATAGATGGCATCATGAGGAAGGAAAATTATATGGATATATTGAAGCAACAGCTCAAGACATCAGTCAGGAAGTTAAAGCTTGGTTGCAAATGGGTCTTCCAAATGGACAATGACCCCAAGCATACTTCCAAAGTTGTGGCAAAATGGCTTAAGGACAACAAAGTCAAGGTATTGGAGTGGCCATCACAAAGCCCAGACCTTAATCCTATAGAAAATTTGTGGGCAGAACTGAAAAAGCGTGTGCGAGCAAGGAGGCTTACAAACCTGACTCAGTTACACCAGCTCTGTTAGGAGGAATGGGCCAAAATTCACCCAACTTATTGTGTGAAGCTTGTGGAAGGCTACGCAAAACATTTGACCCAAGTATAACAATTTAAAGGCAACGCTACCAAATACTAATTGAGTGTATGTAAACTTCTGACCCACTGGGAATGTGATGAAAGAAATAAAAGCTGAAATAAATCATTCTCTCTACTATTATTCTGACATTTCACATTCTTAAAATATAGTGGTGATCCTAACTGATCTAAGAACAGGGAATTTTTACAAGGATTAAATGTCAGGAATTGTGAAATATTGAGTTTAAATGTATTTGGCTAAGGTGTATATAAACTTCTGACTTCAACTGTATATGCCCAGTCTTATGACTAAGTCACACAAGACAAGTTTGTATCAGTAGTAAAAAAACAGCATATCACAATGGACAATTATTTAAGTAAAGAACAGCATAGTATGTCCAATTAAACAGCATAGTATGTAATTAATTAATTTCCTCCACACATTACAGTACTGTATCCAAAGAGAGTTACACCTCCCCCTGCTGTCCATACTATAGTTGTGTCTTACTGTAGTTTTTTTGCCTGTTATTTTATAAAACATGATGGATGCTATGCTGTCCCTGATATGATCTTACCCTCGATTCAGTCATAATATAGCCTAGCCCTAGAGTGTGATTGAAGCTGTAAGATGTTTCATGATATATTTATTATGAGCTATTATTACATATACAGTACAGGTTTTATGTGGCAAAGTGGCAGCTATATGCCAGGAGGACGCTACCTGCCCGAATGCATAGTGCCAACTGTAAAGTTTGGTGGAGGAGGAATAATGGTCTGGGGCTGTTTTTCATGGTTCGGGCTAGGCCCCTTAGTTCCAGTGAAGGGAAATCTTAACGCTACAGCATACAATGACATTCTAGACAATTCTGTGCTTCCAACTTTATGGCACAATTTTGGGGAAGGCCCTTTCCTGTTTCAGCATGCCAATGCCCCTGTGCACAAAGCGAGGTCCATACAGAAATACAGTGAGGGAAAAAAGTATTTGATCCCCTGCTGATTTTGTACGTTTGCCCACTGACAAAGAATTGATCAGTCTATAATTGTAATGGTAGGTTTATTTGAACAGTGAGAGACAGAATAACAACACCAAATCCAGAAAAACGCATGTCAAACATTTTATACATTGATTTGCATTTTAATGAGGGAAATAAGTATTTGACCCCCTCTCAATCAGAAAGATTTCTGGCTCCCAGGTGTCTTTTATATAGGTAACGAGCTGAGATTAGGAGCACACTCTTAAAGGGAGTGCTCCTAATCTCAGTTTGTTACCTGTATAAAAGACACCTGTCCACAGAAGCAATCAATCAATCAGATTCCAAACTCTCCACCATGGCCAAGACCAAAGAGCTCTCCAAGGATGTCAGGAACAAGATTGTAGACCTACACAAGGCTGGAATGGGCTACAAGACCATCGCCAAGCAGCTTGGTGAGAAGGTGACAACAGTTGGTGCGATTATTCGCAAATGGAAGAAACACAAAATAACTGTCAATCTTCCTCGGCCTGGGGCTCCATGCAAGATCTCACCTCGTGGAGTTGCAATGATCATGAGAACGGTGAGGAATCAGCCCAGAACTACATGGGAGGATCTTGTCAATGATCTCAAGGTAGCTGGGACCATTGTCCCCAAGAAAACAATTGGTAACACACTACGCCGTGAAGGACTGAAATCCTGCAGCGCCCGCAAGGTCCCCTGCTCAAGAAAGCACATATACAGGCCCATCTGAAGTGTGCCAATGAACATCTGAATGATTCAGAGGAGAACTGGGTGAAAGTGTTGTGGTGATGAGACCAAAATGGAGCTCTTTGGCATCAACTCAACTCCCTGTGTTTGGAGGAGGAGGAATGCTGCCTATGACCCCAAGAACACCATCCCCACCGTCAAACATGGAGGTGGAAACAATATGCTTTGGGGGTGTTTTTCTGCTAAGGGGACAGGACAACTTCACCGCATCAAAGGGACGATGGACGGGGCCATGTACCGTCAAATCTTGGGTGAAAACCTCCTTCCCTCAGCCAGGGCATTGAAAATGGGTCGTGGATGGGTATTCCAGCATGACAATGACCCAAAACACACGGCCAAGGCAACAAAGGAGTGGCTCAAGAAGAAGCACATTAAGGTCCTGGAGTGGCCTAGCCAGTCTCCAGACCTTAATCCCATAGAAAATCTGTGGAGGGAGCTGAAGGTTTGAGTTGCCAAACGTCAGCCTCGAAACCTTAATGACTTGGAGAAGATCTGCAAAGAGGAGTGGGACAAAATCCCTCCTGAGATGTGTGCAAACCTGGTGGCCAACTACAAGAAATGTCTGACCTCTGTGATTGCCAACAAGGGTTTTGCCACCAAGTACTAAGTCATGTTTTGCAGAGGGGTCAAATACTTATTTCCCTCATTAAAATGCAAATCAATTTATAACATTTTTGACATGCGTTTTTCTGGATTTTTGTTGTTGTTATTCTGTCTCTCACTGTTCAAATAAACCTACCATTAAAATTATAGACTGATCATGTCTTTGTCAGTGGGCAAACGTACAAAATCAGCAGGGGATCAAATACTTTTTTCCCTCATTGTAGTTTGTTGAGATCAATGTGGAAGAACTTGACTGGCCTGCACAGAGCCCTGACCTCAACCCCATCAAACACCTTTAGGATGAATTGGAACGCCAACTACTAGCCAGGCCTAATCGCCCAACATCAGTGCCCGACCTCACTAATGCTCTTGTGGCTGAATGAACGCAAGTCCCCGCAGCAATTGTCCAACATCTAGTGGAAAGCCTTCCAAGAAGAGTGTAGGCTGTTATAGCAGCAGAGTGGGGACCAACTCCATATTAATTCCCATTATTTTGGAATGAGATGTTCGACGAGCAGGTGTCCACATACTTCTGGTCATGTAGTGTATCTACCTCAATTACCTTGTATCCATGCACATCGACTCGGCACTGGTACCCCGTGTGTATAGCCAAGTTATTTTTGCTCATTGTGTATTTATTATTACTTTTATTATTACTTGTTTTACTTTTCTATTATTTCTCTCTGCATTGTTGGGAAGGGCCCGTAAGGAAGCATTTCACTGATTGAAGCAAATAAACTCTTTAATTTGTATTGTTGCATTCAACCACTGGCGTACCACACATCCCCGCAATGAGGGTAGCCCACGAGCTCTGGAGGGGGCCCGCAAGCTCAGATAGTCATAAGCCATGGCAAAATGTTTAAAATTACAGGAAATTATCTTTTAAACTGCAACATGTTTTCTCAGCCTCATGGCAAATGTGTAGAATAGCAGGAATTTAGCTTTAAAGTAACTGTCCAGTGAAAATCTCAGTTTTAAAAGTTTATATTCTGTTAATACCCCTAAATAATGTTGTTTACTCATCCTATACTTGCATTTGTGGCCAAAGCATCATTTCTATTAATTTTTTTAACACTAAAACACCACCTTAAACAGCTTGCTATTTCCTCATAGAACATGGTGTTGGCTCATTGGCTGAATTGGCCAATCAGTGGTCTACTCGCATGAATAATATATTGTTCAAATCATTCAAACACAGAAAAGCTGCTTTTTAACATACTTTTTTTTAATGTAGTTTTGTTACCTTCGGTATTTTAAAAAATGCTCTCAGAGATCCATTGTTTCTCAGTTTTATATTGACAGTATAGTACTGTATCCAAAGAGAGTTACACCTCCCCCTGCTGTCCATACTATAGTGGTGTCTTACTGTAGTTTTTTTGCCTGTTATTTTGTAAAACATGATGGATGCTATGCTGTCCCTGATATGATCTTACCATCGATACAGTCATCATATAGCCTAGCCCTAGAGTGTGATTGAAGCTGTAAGATGTTTCATGTTATATTTATTATGAGCTATTGTTACATATACAGTACAGGTTTTATGTGGCACAGTCGTAGCTTTAAAAAGATGACGGTCTTTCAAAGGGGAACTCTTGGACAGCCTCTTTAATGTGCCCACTGGATTCTTCTTGAACCTTTGTCTTAGAGGTTGAAAGTGGAGCAGGTTTTAAATATTGATACATAGAAAATATAACCATTAGGGTCTTCTAGCACTGAGTGGCTCTCCCATGGGTTTACTCATGGACAGAGCACAGCTTGGACTGGCTTTGAACCTGAGGCAGGCTGCTGTGTGCATAGGACTACTGATGGAGATTTAAAGTGGCTGTGTGGAGCGCCCATGGTGACACAACATGAGCACCTTTGAAAGGCAAACAGCCTCTGCTCGAAACTTTTATTCATTCTGATGTGCATGCTGGGAACAATTTATTGTCTGTTTGACATGGGTGGGGAAAGCCATCTATGAGGCTTAGCTGAAGTCATCATGGACCATCATGGCTCTCATTAAACCAGGTCATTAAACACATGCATACTTACAAATTATGTCTAAATCAAGTGTCAACTCCCTCCATCCATATATGCTAGTGAGCAAATAAAATGGGCTATGGGAATACTAGATTCAGTCCACAAAACATGACTGGATGAGTCTTGTGTTTCAGAGGTCAAGTGGACAGAGATGCACCGTCTGGCTGACTGGGTTCTGCAGGAGCTGGTGAAGATTGGGATCCTGCGTGGGAGTGTGGAGGACATGCTGAAGGTCCACATGGGCTCTGTCTTCATGTCCCACGGCCTGGGACACGTGCACGACGTGGGCAGCTACCCAGATGTCAGTGTTTCCTGAACCATCCAGGGTGTTAGACACTTAATTAGAGTCTCAATTAAAGGCACAGTCTGTCATTTCTCTGTACTTTGTGGCATCCAGGCAGAGTACAAGCAACTTATTGATATGTTAATTATATTTCTAAGTTATAGCAGTAGTTCTAATGGTGTATCTCTGTTGTTGGTCAGGATGTGGAGAGGGGTCCTTGTCAGGAGAATAACCTATGCATTTACACTGGCTAGGAAGTACATGCTGTACGGAGTACAGTACTGATCTGTATCTTCTGATACGGATTTAGCAGTGGAAAGTACAACTTTACTGCCTATACTTATCTACCTAGTACACATTAACATGGGTTATTGCATTATATTTACACTGTAATAAGATCTCTGAAATGGGTTACATTAATCTGTGCAGTTGAGAAAATTCACCCCACTGCCCCCCTAATCCAACTGGGGCATGTCAGTCATAGCCAATACTGTTAGGGCTGGGATTACTTTTCAATTGATGACAGTCAGGCTGTGTTTACACAGGCAGCCCAATTCAGATCTTTTTGCCACTAACAGGTATTTTTGACCAATCAGATCAGATATTTTGGCAAAAGATCAGAATTGAGCTGCCTGTGTAAATGCAGCCTCAGTCACCACATGGTGTCTGCAAATGCTTTCTTGAACCTTGAACTAAGTGTTGAAATAATTGCTGCTTCTGATAAAAGAAAGGCCACAATAAGTTACATAACTTGTGTGGGATGGGCACTAGAACAGACTTCTGTAGAAGTTCTGTGAGACAAAATATCAAGAATATTCACTGAAGAGTGACAATGAAATTGAGAATGAAATAACACCTCAAAAGTTGGTTCATAATAAAAACGAAAAGTTGAACAGTATATAAATCCAACACAAACATTTACATATTTACTTATAAAAAAGTGGATTTGAAACTGAAACATCACCCTGGGGTTTTTCTGAAAGATAACTATAAAGACCTTGCAATGCAATACAACCCTAACATATATTTCAAGTTAGTGGATCAGATAAATGGCCATACTATTTCAAGCATCATTGAAGTTCGTCGCTTGATATCACATAACGCCGACATACATTTTGAAACAATGTTCAGCACTCACTCACTCCAGCCAAAATCAGCTGATCGGCTTCACAAGGGAAGCCACGTGTCACATGACACTTCCAGTCTTGAGCAACATGGCTGCACGACAGGAGTGAGTACATTATTTTCTGTATTATTTCTGTGATTTCTCTTTGTGTTAAGCGTAATTGGGCACTGATTCTAAATAAATAAAAATGTATAATGCATGAATTGTTAGCTCGCTAGCTATCTGCATATACCTGATCAACTAAGCTAACTCTCGTTATCGGTGCTAACTGTCAAGCGTAAGAAAAGAGCGGCGTACTTTTTGCAGGTTGGCAGTCAGGAATCAATGAGCAACGTTGCCAGTTAATTAACTAACTAACTACCTATGCCTGTCTAACTTGATATTTATTCGCAGGATAGGGAAAAAATAGGTGGTTACAGCTCCAGTTTGTGGATAATATTAGCAAGTCTCTCTACAGACGGGTTGCTTCCGGAATAATATTAGTGCTGGGAATTGCCAGGGACCTCACGATACGATATTATCACGATACTTAGCTAGGTGCCGATACGATATGTACTGCGATTCTATATGTATCACGATTTATCACATTTCGATGTCTGCGGCAGAGGGACAGGAGAGAGCCATAATTATAAAAACTAGTTTTGATCAGTCAAGCACTGAAAACATGTTGGCTCACCATTTAAAAGTAAGATTGAGGCCAAACTATAGGACGTTTTTGCGCAGGTACAGCCAACTAGCACTAGCCAACATTAACTACCTAGCAAAAAAAAGGGAGAGAGAATCGATATAATATTGTAAAAAATACGCTACTGCAGTGGTCACCAACCTTTGAGTCAAGATCACTTTTGCAGTCCAAAAACAAGCCGAGATCTACTGCTCAGACCATGCAACATTAATAAAAACAGTTCTGTAGGAATGAAGTTTGTGCAGTAGGCCTAATACTTTGTCACAGCATATTGGCTATATGTGCGTGGCCTGCCAATATTGTTTTTCTAAGACCATATTATATTTAAAAACTCGAGCTTTGATAACGAAATAGATCAGTTGTACCACTTGCGAGGCACAGCTGAGCATACATTGAAGTAATTCGCTTTTTTATTTTACTGAACTGAGTATCTGCATCTGATGGTCAGTCTCAGCGGAGGGAGGGAGAGAGCAGCAGAGGGTCCGCCTCTCACTGTCCCTGCTCTCTCCTTTACTCCGGTGAGACTGGACAGAGAGAGGAAACCGTCCTACCACGGATGGCGAAACTCGAGTCGCACCGCATTATTTTTGCCTCATGCACAAATTCATGTTGCTTTGACTAGAGGAAGTGAAATATTCCTTGATATTAAAATAGATATGACAAGCTGCTAATAATAAAAGCGCAGGCCTATCGATACACTTGGCTACTAATTAATTGCAGCTGTGGCGCGAGAGGAAGTAGGGAGAAGCGCGTTTTGTAAAAGTGTTGACTGTGCTGAATAAAAACTTTAAAACAAACTAACTCATAAAAACAGCAGGGCTTTGCTGTATTCTTTGACAGTTTATCTCTGGTCATGGTTTTAAAAGTTATGAAATCTCACGTAGGCTAGTATCAAACTTTGCTGTGGGGTCATGGAAGCTGTACTAGGCACTGTGATTTGAGCTATCTAATTGGCCAGCGCAGTAGGCACACTTGATTTAACTACAGCTCTTCTGGTCAGCCGGGTAGATGGAGTTTGACCCTTCAGACAAATTAAATGTTCAAAAGACATTGCCTACCTGGCACGCAGGGCTTCTGAATCAAGTGCACCTTCTGTTACGGAGTCTAGTTGATAGGTAATCGACTAGTTGGACTGTTCCCCAGACTCCACGCGTAGGGATTTGTACAAGGCTGAACAAGGCTATTGAACTGAACATTGGTGTCTGTCTTTATTCCTTAATCCAACATATCATACAGAAACATGGTATCAGAAGTGGCTCGGAAAACACACGTTTGTTATTTTTGTAGCTAAGTACAGTATAGGCGCAGTTACGTTCCATATGCGAACACAAGCCGTTTCCTACTCACAACACTGATCAACTCGTGTTAGCTGGCTAGCTAGCATCACTACCTACCTCCATGACTGAAGACAAAGAAATCTCCTATTCCATTGCTATGGCAGCGAACATTCCGCCACCAAATCACATGGTTCTCACAGGGGACTGGAATACTAATTGGGACAACTTCAGGGATGAATTCGAGGACTATGCGCTGGCGACCGGTCTACGTGAGAAACCCAACGAGGTACAAGCGGCAACTCTGAGGAGTTTAATGGGCAGCGAATGCAGGCATATCTACCGGCACAATCTCACCCTCACGGCACGACAACAGTGTGATGCAAAGGCTATATTGGATGCATTGGAGAATTACTTCAAACCCGCCAGAAACGTAATTTACGAGCGGTTCGTTTTCGGAAGCTGCAAACAGGAAGAGGGTGAGTCAGTACACAACTTTGTAACCCGTTTGAGAGAGAAATCCGCCACTTGTGAATACGGGGGATTGAAAGATGAACTGATTCGTGACAAAATAGTACTGGGAATTGCAAATGAGAATACGCGCCGGCGTCTACTGAGAGAGAGAGGCTTAACATTAGTAACTGCCATCGAAATGTGCCGCACTGCTGAAGTCACTGACATGAGAATGAGAGCAATGGAAACTGAAACCCCACGCTCCGACGTTGATACTGTTCACGCTGTTGCTAGGCAGACATTCAGACAAAACCAATCGAGGCAGAGTAATTCACCACGAACGGTGAACACAGAGAGCCCCGTAGCATGTAAATACTGTGGGAATACACACACACGTGGCAAAGAGCACTGCCCGGCCTATGGAAAACCATGCAGAGCTTGTGGAACTAATAATCACTTTGCAAAAGTGTGTCTCAAAAGCAAAAGAAGGGTGAGTGAGGGCAAGATTCACTGTGTTGATGATGTTACTCAATGTTCAGAGCTGAACAGTGAAAGTGACATTTACATGCATGAATCCATTGGGGCTGTACACTCAAGAGGGAAGAAATGGTTTGTGACACTACGATTACACAACAAGCAACAACAATGTCAACTGGATTCGGGTGCTACATGCAACGTAATGAGCTACAAAGACAAAATCAATCTGGCACCTGACACACATCTATTTCCCAGCGATACTAGACTAAAGCTGTACTCAGGAGAACTAATGAGCTCTATGGGCACCTTTGAGACCGAATGTGTTATTCGGGGACGCAAACACAAGCTGGAGTTCGAGATTGTGAAAACCAGTCAAAATCCTCTCCTCTCAGGCTCTACATGCGAACGCCTGGGACTGATGCAGTTCACTGTACCAAAGGACCTGCACATTGTGGATCATGTCCAGCATGGACCCCTGTCCAAAGAACAACTACTCAGTAGATATGACGATGTATTCAACATGCCCGTTGAATCAGTGCCTGGGGAGGTACACTTTGAAGTGGATGAGAGCATTACTCCAGTCCAGTGTGCTCCTCGCAATGTGCCCATTGCAATGAAAGTGGCTGTGAAGGCCCAGCTGGACAAGTATGAGGCCGATGGCCACATGACATCTGTGACTGAACCAACTGACTGGATCAGCAATATGGTCATAGTAAAAAAACCAGAGAAGCTGAGGGTCTGCATCGACCCAAAGCATCTGAACCAAGCACTGAAACGATCCCACTACATCATGCCGACACTAGAGGATGTCCTCTATAAGCTTCCCAAGGCCAGGATTTTCACCTTGGTGGATGCCCGAGATGCATTCCTTCAATGCAAGCTGGACGAAGAAAGCAGCTTCATGACTACCTTCTGGACCCCCTGGGGTCGGAAACGCTGGCTCAAGCTCCCGTTTGGTGTCTCAGTGGCGCCTGAGGTATACCAACGCAAGCAGCACGAGTTACTGGCTGGGCTCAAGGGCATTGAACCCATCGCCGATGATATCCTGATCGTAGGCTGTGGTGAAACAGACGAAGAAGCAGAACGCGACCACGATGTGAAGCTCCTGGCACTGATGGAGCGCTGCCGATCAGTTAAGCTTCGTCTTGGCCTGAAGAAGCTGCAGTTCAAGGTGAAAGACGTCCACTTCCATGGCCACATTCTCTCGGCAAAAGGCCTGAAGCCGGACCCAGACAAGGTCCAAGCGATCCTCGACATGCCAAACCCGTCTGATGCAAAAGGAGTACAGCGTCTCATCGGCTTTGCAAACTATCTTGCAAAGTTCATGCCACACCTATCAGCAGTCTGTGAGCCTCTGCGCCGATTGCTGGACAAAGACACACCATGGCACTGGCTACCCAAGCACGAGGCCGCAGTGCAGGAGATGAAATCTCTGGCTTCATCCATGCCAGTGTTGCGCTACTACGACGTCACGAAGCCTGTCACAATCCAGAGCGACTCTAGCCAAAGGGGACTTGGATGCTGCCTTATGCAGGAAGGCCAGCCCGTTGCGTTTGCCTCGAGAGCGCTCACCCCCACCGAACAAAACTATGCACAAATTGAGAAAGAGTGCCTCAGCATCGTCTTCGCCTGCCAGCGATTCCATCACTACTTATATGGTCGAGAGCTGGTCACCGCTGAAACTGACCACAAACCACTCATTGCCATATTCAGTAAACCTCTCCTCAACGCGCCCAAGAGGCTTCAAAGTATGCTCCTGACTCTGCAAAACTACAGCCTGAAGGTCATTTACAAGCCAGGACCTGAGATGTACATCAGCGACACACTGAGCAGGGCAACAGCACAATGTACAGGTAGAGGCACTGCCTATCAGCGGCAGGCCATCTGTTCGCTACAGCAGGAACAACAAGATGTTCAACAGATCAATCAGGCAGACTACTTAAACGTGACAGATCACCGCCTAGCCCAGATCAGGCAACATACTGACAAGGACGAACACCTACAGTCACTGAAGTCCATGGCTCTAGCAGGTTGGCCATATCTGAAAGAGGAGACACCTTTCACAGTGAGAGAATACTGGACCTTTCGAGATGAGATCAGTGTGCAAAATGGCGTCTTGTTCAGAGGTCAGAAGGTCATTATTCCCAAATCACTACGTCCAGAGATGCTTACCCGCATACACTCCAGTCACGTCGGAGGTGACGCATGCTACCGTCAGGCTCGTGAAACATTATACTGGCCAAACATGCAAGCAGAAATTAAAGACTTTGTCAGCAACTGTACCACATGCAACGAGTACGCTCATGAACAGCAAAAGGAAACCATGATGTCACACGAACTGCCCACAAGGGCCTGGCAAATCATCAGCATGGACTTATTCAGCCACAGACAAAAGGACTATCTTCTCCTCGTTGATCATTACTCTGACTTTTGGGAAATTGAACTGCTCCCTGACTTGTCCGCAGAGACGGTCATAAAGCGCTGCAAGGCGCAGTTTGCAAGGCAAGGTCAGCCTGACAAGGTAATCACGGACAATGGCCCACAATTCACTGCACAGTTCAAGCGTTTCGCCTCAGAATGGGAGTTTGACCACGTGACCTCCTCTCCAAGACACCCAAAAGCAAATGGCAAGGCAGAATCAGCTGTCAAGATTGCAAAAAACCTGTTAAGCAGGGCCTTGCGCGACAGCAACGACCCATGGAAAGCGATCTTACAGTGGAGGAACACACCCACCGAAAACATGGACAGCAGCCCAGCACAACGCCTTCTGTCCAGACGTCTGAAGACTACTATCCCCGTAGCTAACAAGCTACTTGAGCCCTGCGTCATGGTTGGCGTCACGGACAAACTGCGTCACAGAAAGCAGCTCGCTAAGTGCTTCTACGACCGGACTGCTCGAGACCTACCAGAGCTGGAGGTGGGTGAAACTATAAGGATGAAACCGCTGCCGGGAGACCACACAGGACTTTGGAGGCTGGGCACATGCCTACAGAGAGTTGCACCACGTTCTTACCTGGTGGATGTTGGTGGCTCCCTCTATCGTCGCAATCGGGTGGATCTGCGCGTAGCAGAGCAGACAAACCAGAACATGCCATACACTCACTTAGATGAGCTGGATCACAGTCCAGGCCTAAGGGTAAGGGGTGCAGAATTGAGACATGAGCCAACTGAAGGTGAAGCTTCTACCCCACCAAACTCTCCAGCTCGTGGCCCTAATCCTACCCCAGTCAGAGCCAATACTTACTCACGGGTGGGTCGGCTGTGCAAGCCACCGGACAGGCTTACTCTGTAAGCAAGAGACTTAACTGGTTGTCTGTTAATTTAAAAAAAAAAAAAAAAAAAAAAAAAAAAAAAGGAAGATGACAGCTGAAGTAAAAAGAAAATGTCAGGCTTTTCAATTGTTATGACTTGACTGTTAAGAACGCAATGTTATGTTTGCACTTTCAATTGTTATGACTTGACTGTTAAGAACGCAATGTTATGTTTGCACTTTCTATTGAAAAGGATGATGTTACGGAGTCTAGTTGATAGGTAATCGACTAGTTGGACTGTTCCCCAGACTCCACGCGTAGGGATTTGTACAAGGCTGAACAAGGCTATTGAACTGAACATTGGTGTCTGTCTTTATTCCTTAATCCAACATATCATACAGAAACACCTTCTGCCAAAAGCGCAAAGTCTAATCAAATAAAAAAAAAGGAGCGCAAGCCTTTATCGTTGGCTTTTCTACAGAAATGTTTGGTGATCAACTAAGAATGCCTAGAATATCGACCGGTTGGTGGCCACTGCTCTACTGTATCGATTTTCCCCATCCCTACAATATGTCAATGCTCCAATTGTTATTAATTGATATGGAGGTGATATGATGCATTATACTATATCCTCCTATCATAGCTCATGTTTCTTGTTTAAATGTACTGCATCTCTGAAACAGGAAGCCCACGTTGAAACCCACTCACATGATCACAGAAGTGTTTAGACAACTTATTGTTGAGTTGACAAAATCTGAGGCAGGTTGGTGATCAACAACTCTACAGTTAGTGATCTTTGATCATGTAAATCGGTATGTGTTGTTACTAAATCACACTAGGAAGGGAGCACTCTCCAGAGATCAAGTGTTATCTTTACCACACACTGGGGATCATTAAACCAGATCCATTTAGGGCAATAATGTTCTACAGTTCCATCCATCTGAGTTTGTGCACAATCATCTTTTTTGTTGAGTGTAAAACTCTTGAGTCCTAAAAATGGTCAATATCCTCACCACTTCTGCTAAAGTTTCACTAAAAATGTCACTTTCATAACTGTGTGCAGTGTAATGATGAACAACTATTTTAATTTTTTAAATTGTATATTTACTAAAGGGTTTGTCAGTATTTTATAGATTATTTTTTTGAATGTTTCAGTTCAGCTGATTCTGTCTAAGGCAGGCAATTGGGTTAGGTAACTGAAAATAGCAAACTACTAGACAGTAATGTACAACATATTAACCCATTTCCCAATGCTGTCTTTCTGTAGACCTGTGTATTGGCTGGGCAAAGACACCCTGAGAGTGTCAGCAGCCCTGTTTGCTGAGAACCGGCGGCGGCTGTGCCAGGGCCTGAAGGCCAAGGATGGGATGCCCCCCAAGTCTGTGGTCGTGCTGCAGGGAGGGGAGCAGAAGCAGAGATACTGCACCGATACAGACATGCTCTTCAGACAGGTACATGTTTAATAACAGTCAATTACAGATATGCCTTTTATCCCAAAGCAGCGTATAGTGCATACATTTTCATATTGATGACCCCAACGGGAATTGAATCCACAATTCTGCCGTTGCTCTACCAACTGAGCCACATAGGATCACACATTGATGAGATGGATGAAATGTGACTGAGGACCCTGGCTGACTCTTGACTCATGTGGTTCTGTTCTGTAGGAGTCCTTCTTCCATTGGGCTTTTGGAGTGACTGAAGCCGACTGCTACGGAGCCATCGATGTGGACACTGGAAAATCCATCCTCTTTGTGCCCAAGCTGCCTGAGAGCTATGCAACCTGGATGGGAGAGTGAGTCAGTCACTGTAACTCAAACTATATGTGAATATGATCAGCCTCAGGAGACAGCCCACCACTTTCAGCATCATGGACTCAGACACTAAGAATACTCCTTAGGCCTGCTCATTTAAAACAAATTGTGTCATTGTCTGTTGACAGGATCCATCCGCGGGAATACTTCAAGGAGAAATACGCCGTCGATGAGGTGCAGTACACCTGTGATGTAAGTTAGTGTGTCACGTTTGCATGCACATACTGTACACCTTACCCATCTTTGTAGTGTTGTAGCTTAGCTTGTGACCTTGTAGCTTCACTCGTTTCCCTCTATTTGATAGTCAGTTCTCTCTGATCCCTCAACAATGCTGCCTTTCTTTCTGAACTCTTACAGATTGCTGATGTCTTCTCCAAGATGAAGCTTAGAGCCCTTCTCACTTTGGTTTGCTCTTAATATATTCTGTTGATGCTATGATAGTGGTTTACAGTAGCAGTTCATTAGATAAAGTATCATTTTAAGAGAGACGTGAAAGTGGGCCTGATAAGTATTTCATGTTTCTTCCAGCGTGGACAGAACACAGATAGTGGAAGTACCTGCCGCGAAGCCTCCTTTGAAGGAATCAGTCAGTACGTTTAATTGGCATCAATTGATATCCATTTGAATCAAACTTGTATTTCTAATTTATTTGGTTGAATGTTTTACCTTGATCAAATGATCTTGTGTCTTATATTTCAGATTCCAAGTGAACAACACTCTTCTGCATCCAGTCATTGTGGAATGGTAAGTACTGTATGATACTATATCCAGCTCGTAACCATTGGTTGCTGCTTCTTTTCTGTTATTTATGTGGAACTATTTTTGTAAAATCTTATTAGTCTACTGTGGCTGTTTCACACTGAGTCATCTGAGGTGGTGACTGGATCTCTAATATGAAGAGAATCATTAAGACATAAATGGTGGTAGAAACCATGACCAAGAATAGAATCAGAAAAACACCTCACTAACAAGATGGCAAGATGCTGATTTCCCTGAAAGATAAAGAGGGCAGTGTAAGGCTCCTCCAGCAGTGAGGAATGGATGAGTAATACAGGTATTATTTCTGCATTCATTATGAGCTACCAAATATAAAGCACCCACATGCATACACACACAAACACAGAGCTTTGGCTTTCATCATCATTCTTTTGCCTCTGGTTGGGTGCTATAAGCCAGGCTTAGTATGTGTTTGTGCATGATAGAATTAAGCAGTAAGGCCCAAGGGGGTGTGGTATATGACCAATATACCACAGCTAAGGGCTGTTCTTATGCACGATACAATGCGGAGTGCCTGGATACAGCCCTTAGCCGTGGTATATTGGCCATATACCACAAACCCTGAGGTGCCTTATTGCTATTATAAGCTGGTTACCAACGTAATTGAACAGTAAAAAGTCATGTTTTGTCATACCCGTGGTATATGGTCTGACATAGCATGGCTTTCAGCCAATCAGCATTTCAGGGCTCGAACCACCCGGTTTATAATATAGAAATATACACCTGGCATATTGATCTAGGAGGCTCTTGACTCCTTGTTCCTTCTCTTCCTGCAGCCGGCTGACTAAGACTGACATGGAGCTGGAGGTCCTGCGATACACTAACCGGATTTCCAGTGAAGCCCATAAAGAGGTAAAATCCTGCAGAACAGACAGACAGACAGACATACCTGCCACAGGGGGAGAAGGAGCTCAAGATTCTGGCTCATCTGTGCATTTTGGATTTTAGGGGACCAAAGGTATTGGGACAAATTCACTTATGTGTATTAAAGTAGTCCACAGTTTAGTATTTGGTCCCATATTCCTAGCACGCAATGATTACATCAAGCTTGTGACTACAAACTTGTTGGATGCATTTGCTGTTTGTGTTGGTTGTGTTTCAGATTATTTGGTGCCCAATATAAATGAATGGTAAATAATGTATTGTGTCATTTTAGAGTTACTTTTATTGTAAATAAGAATAGAATATGTTTCTAAACACTTCTACATTCATGTGGATGCTACCATGACTACGGATAGTCCTGAATTAATCATGAATAAAGATGAGTGAGAAAGTTGGATGCACAAATATCATACCCCCTACTCATTCCAGGGTTTTTCGTATTTTTACTATTTTCTACATTGTAGAATTATTATTTTATTTATTTATTTATTTAACCTTTATTTAACTAGGCAAGTCAGTTAAGAACAAATTCTTATTTACAATGAAGGCCTACACCGGCCAAACCCGGACGACGCTGGGCCAATTGTGTGCCGCCCTATGGGACTCCCAATCACGGCCGGTTGTGATACAGCCTGGAATCGAACCGGGGGTCTGTAGCAATGAGATGCAGTGCCGTAGACCGCTGCGCCACTCAAATAAATGCTTCATAGAGTTCAAGTAACAGACACATCTAAACATCAACTGTTCAGAGGATAATAATAGTGAATACATCAAAACTATGAAATAACACATATGGAATCATGTAGTAACCAAAAAAGTGTTAAATAAATACAAATATATTTTATATTTGAGATTCTTCAAAGTAGCCACCCTTTGCCTTGATGACTGCTTTGCACACTCTTGGCATTCTCTCAACCAGCCTCATGAGGATGCATTGGAATGCATTTCAATTAATAGGTGTGCCTTGTTAAATGATAATTTGTGGAATTTCTTTCCTTCTTAACGCGTTTGAGCCAATCAGTTGTGTTGTGACAAGGTAGGGGTTTGATACAGAAGATGGCCCTATTTGGTAAAATACCAAGTCCATATTATGGCTAGAACTTCTCAAATAAGAAAAGAGAAACAGTCCATCATTACTTTAAGACATGAAGGTCAGTCAATCCGGAAAATGTCAAGAATTTTGAACGTTTCTTCAAGTGCAGTCGCAAAAACCATCAAGCGCTATCATGAAACTGGCTCTCATGAGGACCGCCACAGGAAAGGAAGACCCAGAGTTACCTCTGCTGTAGAGTATAAGTTCACTAGAGTTCAAGTAACAGACATATCTCAACATCAACTGTTCAGAGGAGACTGCGTGAATCAGACCTTCATGGTCAAATTGCTGCAAAGAAACCACTGCTAAAGGACACCAATAATAATAAGAGACTTGCTAGGGCCAAGAAACACGAGCAATGGACATTAGACCGGTGGAAATCTGTCCTTTGGTCTGATGAGTCCAAATTTGAGATTTTTGGTTCCAACCGCCGTGTCTTTGTGAGACGCAGAGTAGGTGAATGGATGATCTCTGCATGTGTGGTTCCCACCGTGAAGCATGGAGGAGGAGGTGTGATGGTGTGGAGGTGCTTTGCTGGTGACACTGCCTGTGATTTAGTTAGAATTCAAGGCACACTTAACCAGCATGGCTACCACAGCATTCTGCAGCGATACGCCATCCCATCTGGTTTGGGCTTAGTGGGACTATCATTTGTTTTTCAACAGGACAATGACACAAAACACACCTCCAGGCTGTGTAAGGGCTATTTGACCAAGAAGGAGAGTGATGGAGTACTGCATTAGATGACCTGGGCTCCACAATCACCCGACCTCAACCCAATTGAGATGGTTTGGGATGAGTTGGACCGCAGAGTGAAGGAAAAGCAGCCAACAAGTGCTCAGCATATGTGGGAACTCCTTCAAGACTGTTGGAAAAGCATTCCTCATGAAGCTGGTTGAAAGAATGCCAAGAGTGTGCAAAGCAGTCATCATGGCAAAGGGTGGCTACTTTGAAGAATCTAAAATCTAAAATATATTTTGATTTGGTGAACCCTTTTTTTGGGTTACTACATGATTCCATATGTGTTATTTCATAGTGTTGATGTCTTCACTATTATTCTGCAATGTAGAAAATACAAAAAATAAAGAAAAACCCTTGAATGAGTAGGTGTGTCCAAACTTTGACTGGGACTGTATACAGTATATATAATACTTTTGGTTCCCTAAAATGGGGGGACTATGTACAAAAAGTGCTGTAATTTCTAAACGGTTCACCCGATGTGGATGAAAGTACCCTCAAATTAAAGCTGAGAGTCTGCACTTTAACCTCATAGTCATTGTATCATTTAAAATACAAAGTGCTGGAGTACAGAGCCAAAACAACCAAAAATGTGTCACTGTCCCAATACTTTTGGAGCTCACCATGTTGTTATATCAAGATTCATATATGAATATAATCAAAGCTAAAATAATACATCTCAGAGGCATCAATGCCCACTTGCAGCCTTGTATATCACAGGTACAGCCAACCTGAAGTGCTTTTTTCATTTCTCTTCAGATCATGAAGAATGTGAGACCTGGACAGAAAGAGTATGAAATGGAGAGGTGAGTGGAGCTTTTTATCATGAAGGGTATGCCTGCAATATTGAACTGTTTCTACCGTATAAAAGTATATTGTATGACGAAAAGGCTATGTAGTGTACTATGTCCTGTCTGACCATAAAGGTGATGGTAGAACAGTATGTTCCTTATCTATGCCAAGGTGTGTTCCTCTGGATAAACTACATTCACAGCACTACAGATCTGATCACTACTGAAGTCATAAGTATTTGGACAAATTCACTTATAGTGTAGTCAAAAGGGTAGTATTTGGTCCCATATTCCTTGCACGCAATGACAACATCATGCTTGTGACTATAAACGTGTTGGATTCATTTTGGTTTGTCTTGTGCCATTTACTTTTATTGTAAGTAAGAATAGAAGATGTTTCTGAACACTTCTACCTTAATGTGGATGTTACCATGATAATGGACCATCAGGCAAAAATCCTATCCTCCCCTGTTATTAGTAATGGTGAGAGGTTAGCATGTTTTGTTGTAGCCTCTGAACGGCATCTCACTCATCATTATTCATGATTTTTCTTAATCGTGGCATTATCATGATTTATTTAGAAGGGTTCAGAAATATCTTATCCACTGACTTAGAAAGAAAATGATTAGTCATCATTCATCATTCAGTTACTATTGGGCAAAACATAATCCAAAACAAGTTTGTAGAGTCACACGTTTGATGTAATCATTGCATGCAAGGAATAAGGGACCAAATAATAAACTTTTGACTACTTTGATACACTATAAGTGCATTTGTCCAAGTACTTATGACTTCTTCACATGGGGGGGACAATACATGAAGTGCTTTTATTTCTAAATGGTAAAACAGAGACAGTATGTATGAAAATCCCCTCAAATAAAAGGTGACATTCTGTACTGTCACCTCATGTGAAACATTTGATTTCAAATCTAAAATGCTGGAGTATAGAGACAAATGAAAAAATGACTTCACTGTCCAAATACATATGGAGGGGAGTGTATTTACGATGTAGCAACAGCCACCCACTGAGCTGAATCAATTTCCTGTTTCTAGCTGGCAGCTTTTTGTGTTTTTAATTAAACCTTCATCTGGGTGACTGAAGAGTGTAAATAATCTGAGCTACTATATCAGCGCCCCTCGCCAGCCCACTATCTGACTAATTGACTGCAGCAAGAACGTGCAGCAGAGAATATGTAATCACTGACTCAAGTCTCCAGTGAATAGACAAATAAACTAGTGAAGATGAGTCCAAATGCTTTTATTATACTATCCTCCTGTTAAGTATCAGGCGATGGAGATCTTCAAGGTGGGGTCGCTTTGGATAAAAGCGTCTGCTAAATGGCATATTATTATTATTATTATTATTATATTATTATAGGTTTAAGTGACTCCCCTCTTGTATTCTAGGCTAATGAATATGAAAAATGAGGTTAACCCCCTCATATATTGTCATTGTTAGAGCTGGGGAGCTTCTTGTGTATGGTCGCTCATGTCAATGCTTTACTGTTGCAGCCTGTTCCAGCACTACTGCTACTCTCATGGGGGAATGCGTCACACCTCCTACACCTGTATCTGTGGAACGTAAGGCACTTCCCTTTGCTACACAGAATGGGGTTAATGGAGAACATAGAGCATCTGAAATGCATGACAGCTGAGGTCAATTTGGATATACAGAAATTAGGTGCTATTTTTCTATCTGACTTGTATGTTCAGTGCCTCTATAATGACCTACTTGTATGCTTAAATCTTCAACAGTGGAAACAATGGCTCAGTTCTGCACTATGGCCATGCAGGAGCTCCTAATGACAAGACCATCCATGACGGAGACATGTGGTAAGTCGGCCATCATTTCACATGATGTGTCGTTATTCCACTCCTCAATTGTCCTTTTTGGGTTGTTTGCTTGGTTTTGTTAGATGTGTTCATTTCGTCTTGGATTTGTATATCAAAAACACTTGCAGTGATCTGTTGTTTTGTTTAATGGAATACTGTACATCTCAGATAGCTACACCTCCCCAGCTGTCATTAGTATAGTAGGGTGTTGTCTTGTACTCACTGTTAGCTGGATCCACTGAGTGGCTCTCCCATGGGTTTACTCATAGACAGAGCACAGCTTGGACTGGGTTTGAACCTGAGGCAGGCTGCTGTGTGTATAGGGACTACTGATGGAGATTTAAAGTGGCTGTGTGGAGCGCCCATGGTGACACAACATGAGCACCTTTGAAAGCCAAAACTTGTATTCATTCTGATGTACATGCTGTGAACAATTTCTCTGATTTATGTTTGGAAATGATGCTGGAATGGCTGTAGAGCCCTCTGGGTGAGCAATAACACTGATGTAACTGTGACCTGTGGTTTTTTCTTGCAGTCTGTTTGACATGGGTGGAGAATACTACTGCTACTCCTCTGACATCACCTGCTCTTTCCCAGCCAATGGAAAGTTCACTCCAGACCAGAAGGCCATCTATGAGGCTGTGCTCAAGTCATCACGGGCTGTCATGGCTGCCATTAAACCAGGTATGATCATACTGTACACAGGCAGGATTGAGGAAGCATTCACTAAACATACAGTACAAACTTAGCTTGGGCAATTTGTTCTATGGTTAGACTAATAGTGAGTTGTTGAAGTCTGAAGACTACCACAGAACATGCCATATCCTCACCACCAGTCATTATCACCTGCATACTAGGCTGCTTTGAAACTTTTAACCTCCAATTAAAAACCTGACTGGAAGGGTCTTGTGTTTCAGAGGTCAAGTGGACAGAGATGCACCGTCTGGCTGACCGGGTTCACCTAGAAGAGCTGGTGAAGATTGGGATCCTGCGTGGGAGTGTGGAGGACATGCTGAAGGTCCACATGGGCTCTGTCTTCATGCCCCACGGCCTGGGACACCTGCTGGGCATCGACGTGCACGACGTGGGCGGATACCCAGAGGTCAGTACCAAAGAGATAGATACAGTATTCTATTTATCTCAATGATCAGTGCTACATAAAGTTCTAAATACACTTCCAAAAAGACATGAGTGGCTCTTTCCTTATGGACAAAGCTAACGTCCGTGTCATGTCGCTTGTTCTTGGTTACACAGGGTATTGAGCGGGTCAACGAGCCCGGTCTGAAGAGCTTGAGGATGGGCCGTCTGGTGCAGGAGCGCATGGTCCTGACTGTGGAGCCTGGTATCTACTTCATCAACCACCTGCTGGACCAGGCCTTGGCCAACCCAGCCCAGAGCTGCTTCATCAACAATGAAGTGCTGGCCCGCTTCCGCGGCTTTGGAGGGGTACGTTTACCTGTCCACAGACAATTTGTGCTAATTCGTTTATGTGCTGGTTTTACTGTCAAAGTGAACCACCCAAAGCTTGCACATAGAAACCCCTTGGTCTCAATCAACTCCATGGCAGCAAATAATATACACATATGCTCTTCTGTTAAGTCTTCTGCTATAACTGCTTCCCCCTGATCCTTATCTGCTGTTGATTGTTAACCTTGGCTCTGACCCTCGTGTCTTACTGGATGTTTCCCCTCCTCTGTCCAGGTGCGTATTGAGGACGACATTGCAGTGACTGCCAGTGGAATGGAGCTGCTCACCTGTGTCCCTCGTACAGTGGAGGAGATTGAGGCTTTCATGGCCGACCGTGGAAAATCCTTCTAAGTAACGTCACTCAAATCCAAGATGATCTAACCAAATGGTATTTTCACTCCTAAATCTGGAGAGAATATCTGTTTTCTGATATAAAGGATGCAGTTTCTCTAATGATATCTTACCTGTCTACATAATGCTATATCTAATCAATAATGGATGCTTTAAATGCTGAACTTTTCAACAAAAGCAGGTTAAACTACCTATACTATTTTAAGCTCTTAGTGATAAAGATAATTTTGAAAATGAAGAGAAATGCAGTGTATTAAACTGCTGTGGCCATCTTGCCATGTAAAAACAGTGTTGACGGTTGACAATATTTCAGTGCCTGGTTAATTGCTTTATGACTGTGTGTAATAATATAATACTTTATTTTCTTGGACATTTATGCAATTCTCATAAAATACAGTGCAATTTAAGTAAATAAACCCCTCAATTTGCAGTTTTGCGTTCTGTGACATTTGTAGAGGGTGCTTCCATTTGTAAATGCCAGGGAACATAAAGTGTCATGGAACAGTGGGTTGGTTTACTACAACTTTGTAGTAATACTGCCAGTCTTCACTAGATGGGGTCCTTAAGTCATTCTCAAGTTCATGTAGCTCTGGTAAGAAGAGTTGCCTTGTTTCGATGCTCTTATTTGTTACAGATTTGATTCACACCACCAGTGAACTGGTGTTCAAATAAATGGAATGACTACAAATATGCACTAAATAAGTACAAACAACAGAAGTTTATTTACCCATTCTCTCCAAAACAGTGTCAATCAAACCTTGCCCATTTCCATTATGAAGTAGTGTACAGTACATTGCAGATGTTTGCATTAAAATTCAAAATACTAAAGTATAGCATTTCAGTCATACCCCATGCCTCTGATAAAAAAAAAAGATAGTGTTATGTTAAATAAGTGTTAAATCATCAACTTAAATACTTGGCAGTTGGCACATTCAGTTAATTCCCTTTAACTCAGACAAAGTTGCATTGAATACACTATATTATCATGTCTTTACCTACAGATTCCATCCCAGATGTAGCATCTCATTACACATACAGTACATACAGGATGAGAACACATCAACCATGGTAAATATGTCCTCAAAACCTTTTATTACAGTGAATGTTACTATGCTGGATGGAATCAAAAAGGAACTCCTTGCTCTTGAGGTACAATACAGGATAAAGGACAAAATAGTGGGGCATAATACTTTACTGGCATGGTCAATGTATCACCTTTGTTTAGGTGTTTACTAGGCCTACATGAGCATAACAATTTACAATGGTGTAATACTTTTTATCTCACACAAATGTAGTAGTTATTTTACCTTCTCTTTAAGAAGTATAGTGTTCTAGAACTTCTAACCATCTGCTTTAACCATCCAGTGGGCTCTGGAATGCCTACATCCCTTTCCTAGGCAGCGATTGGTGGAGAGGTAACAGACGTTTTAAACCAACGCCCTCCCTGGGGACCCCAACAAATAAATAAAGAGGGCATTCTGCTCTGTTCAGTCACTGGGACGACCTGCTGAATTGCCTTCAGTTCAGCAACGTCTTAATTCACTCATTCATGTATATATGTGTGTATATATATATATATATATATATATATATATATATATACACACACACACAGTGGGGGAAAAAAGTATTTAGTCAGCCACCAATTGTGCAAGTTTTCCCACTTAAAAAGATAAGAGAGGCCTGTCATTTTCATCATAGGTACACGTCAACTATGACAGACACAATGAGAATTTTTTTTCCAGAAAATCACATTGTAGGATTTTTAATGAATTTATTTGCAAATTATGGTGGAAAATAAGTATTTGGTCAATAACAAAAGTTTCTCAATACTTTGTTATATACCCTTTGTTGGCAATGACACAGGTCAAACGTTTTCTGTAAGTCTTCACAAGGTTTTCACACACTGTTGCTGGTATTCTGGCCCATTCCTCCATGCAGATCTCCTCTAGAGCAGTGATGTTTTGGGGCTGTCGCTGGGCAACACGGACTTTCAACTCCCTCCAAAGATTTTCTATGGGGTTGAGATCTGGAGACTGGCTAGGCCACTCCAGGACCTTGAAATGCTTCTTACGAAGCCACTCCTTCGTTGCCCGGGCGGTGTGTTTGGGATCATTGTCATGCTGAAAGACCCAGCCACGTTTCATCTTCAATGCCCTTGCTGATGGAAGGAGGTTTTCACTCAAAATCTCACAATACATGGCCCCATTCATTCTTTCCTTTACACGGATCAGTCGTCCTGGTCCCTTTGCAGAAAAACAGCCCCAAAGCATGATGTTTCCACCCCCATGCTCCACAGTAGGTATGGTGTTCTTTGGATGCAACTCAGCATTCTTTGTCCTCCAAACGCGACGAGTTGAGTTTTTACCAAAAAGTTCTATTTTGGTTTCATCTGACCATATGACATTCTCCCAATCCTCTTCTGGATCATCCAAATGCACTCTAGCAAACTTCAGACGGTCCTGGACATGTACTGGCTTAAGCAGGGGGACACATCTGGCACTGCAGGATTTGAGTCCCTGGCGGCGTAGTGTTTTACTGATGGTAGGCTTTGTTACTTTGGTCCCAGCTCTCTGCAGGTCATTCACTAGGTCCCCCCGTGTGGTTCTGGGATTTTTGCTCACCGTTCTTGTGATCATTTTGACCCCACGGGGTGAGATCTTGCGTGGAGCCCCAGATCGAGGGAGATTATCAGTGGTCTTGTATGTCTTCCATTTCCTAATAATTGCTCCCACAGTTGATTTCTTCAAACTAAGCTGCTTACCTATTGCGGATCCAGTCTTCCCAGCCTGGTGCAGGTCTACAATTTTGTTTCTGGTGTCCTTTGACAGCTCTTTGGTCTTGGCCATAGTGGAGTTTGGAGTGTGACTGTTTGAGGTTGTGGACAGGTGTCTTTTATACTGATAACAAGTTCAAACAGGTGCCATTAATACAGGTAACGAGTGGAGGACAGAGGAGCCTCTTAAAGAAGAAGTTACAGGTCTGTGAGAGCCAGAAATCTTGCTTGTTTGTAGGTGACCAAATACTTATTTTCCACCATAATTTGCAAATAAATTCATTAAAAATCCTACAATGTGATTTTCTGGAAAAAAAATCTCAATTTGTCTGTCATAGTTGACGTGTACCTATGATGAAAATTACAGGCCTCTCTCATCTTTTTAAGTGGGAGAAATCATGATACACTACAACAAGATATCATGAACATTTTAGAGCTTCATTTGTTAGAGGGTTGCTGTATAAAACTGGTAAACTGTCACTTAAAAACACTTTACAACTTAAGTTGTCTTAGCACCATAACTTGGGGCTCTATTCAATCCGTATCGCGGAAGTTCAGCGTTACAGCGTGATAGAAATTTAAAGGCAATGTTCCGCATTAGTGGAGACTGCATCACGGTAAACACTGCATATGTCGGCTCAATCGGAAATTACCTTAACATTTATATTGCGCCATCTGTAACACTTCACTGGTACAGATTAAATGGAGCCCTAGATCTGGACAGATTGAGCAATTACTGTTTGACATGTCCTCCTGTGAAATACTGAAATCTTTGGTCAACTAAACTGCTATGTCGGAGAGTATTGAATAGAGCCCTCATGATACGTAATTGGGGATAATTTCAGAGCAAGCTTGGGCAACTTCATACTACATGTAGTTAATTAGATCATAAATATTGTGGATTTTAAAGATGAAAGAAGCTTATTAAAATGTGTGCAGTCTATACATTACGCAAAACAAACAATCTTGCTTTCCTTTCATACTGTATCTTCCTCTCCTTTCATGTAATCCAAGAGAGCCATGGTAGTCAAGAGTCTCATCACAGATGCGGTAGCAGTCCTTAGTTGTAAGAAAGATAACTCCCACACCTGATATTACCTCTGTACGTTGTTTATTTTGTCAATGTTTAGGCCAAATACCTTTTTCAAGACCTTAAGCCATTCAGGTGAATGGCAGCAACAAACTGCTTCCCACGAAACACAACAAAAGCCCAGACAGGAACTTTTATTGGAGGGGACTCTGGTTACAGTCCATAAAGTGGTTCCAGATTCTTCGGTTTGGTGCCCTGTCGATCATCTCGCCTCACCAGAGCGCCTCCACTCATAGCTCTGTTAAACGTGTCCTTCACAACCATCCTCCACGAACCATTCAGTTTCCCTTATTGCCCATTGGCAATCTCCTCACAAGCCAAAAACAAGTTTGGCTTCTTTACGGTCTTTCAGTTTTTCAGTCTGTATTTCAGCACTCATATTATAGTGTCCACCCAGAGTCAGGTTCTAGACTGTCCCCTCCCCTGTGGGTCAGTGTGTTTGGCCCAGGGACTGAGGGCCTGCTCTGGGCACCGTGGCAGGCCCCCTAGAGTTTTGAGGCCTGGAGAGAGGGGGCTAGCTGAGTCCCCTGTGTTGTGACTGTCTGTGGGCCACTCGTGTGCAGGAGGCACAGCAGGTTGTTTTGTAGTAGTCGTACACACAGAGACGTGCCTGGACCACCACATTGCAGTTGAAATACTTGTCTCGACAGTTCTCGTCTGAAAAACAATCATAATATCGAAAGTCAGTGATTTTTAAGTTTTAGAAATCTTTAAGTATTTTCACAAGTTTTCCGTATGGAATAAGATCTTCATAAATGTTTAACCATTTTAGACTAAAATCCCCTCTAACCCTCATTAAAAATGTCTGACAGTAGTTAGGACCAGACCAGCCATCATTAACCAATCCAACTGTATGACATTCCAGAGGAGGTGCCTTGGCCCCTGATCCATATTTACTATACAGTAGTAACTGACCTATGTGTGGGACGCAGGGCTCTGGGTTGCACTCCTCTCTCTCCACTGGTTTCAGCTGCTCCTCACAGCCCTCACTGGAAAGCATGTCATCAGACAGACAGCGCACCTCCCTCACACGGAAGCCCCCCTCACACGTCTTAGAACACTGCAGGGACAGAGAATACAGTACAAACCTCATTCTCCCTTTCTTCAATTGCACTTACAAGAGAGTGTATTTCACAAGTTACAACTCCACATAAGAGCGTGTGTCTGTGTTTTTTCATGTGTGAGTGCGTGCATGTGTGGGCATGTGCGTGTACAGTTACTCACAGCACTCCAGTCTGTATGGTACCACTTGGCCCCGCAGGACTTGAGGTGGCAGCTCTGCTGATTAAGAGGCTTGTCGAGAGAGGAACATTCGTATGGCGGCATTACATTGAAACCCTCCTCAGACTTCATCAGACACACCACTGCCCTCTGCTGGCTGCCCGAGCCACACTCCGCTGAGCACTGGAGGAAGGAGGCAAAACCATAGGGAAACTACACATGGGCATGACATGAGACATCTGAACTGTTTCAACATGTTTAGTTTTTTCAAATAAAAAGGCATGATTGGCTGACCTGAGTTATGTGATAGAAGGTATACCTTACTTACAGGGACGGTTTCCTGGACAGAGATTAAGCCTAGTCCTGGACTAAAAAGCTATTTCAAATGGAAATAATGAACAAGGAATTTGTAACATCTGAGTGTTCCTCTTTGTATCGTGGGGTAAGATGTTTTGTTGTTGGGGGGGTGGATAGGTAATACAACTGACATGAGACATCAGCAGAAATGTAAATAATGGACAGGAGACATCTGTAAAATCAGCAGCAAATCCTCATCCTAATCTTTTCCCAGATGATGTGTCCCTACAAGCCCAGTTTGACCCGGTGTTGTCCGGTCTTACCTGACTCCAGGGGGCTGTAAACCACTCGATGCGACTCTCACAGGGGCCGTGATTACAGACCTGAGAGTCAGCGGGGCGCTCATGACCACACCCCTCCAGAGGCAGGCTGCTGATGTGATTGGTCAGGCACAGAACGCCGCGCGTCCGCACGCCCATCCCACACTCAGCAGAACACTGCAGAGAGCAAAAACATGGTAAGCAACAATACAAACAGTTGACCTATGGCGTGATTCAATCCGATCAGCAGTAGATCCGTGTATAGCGCACTTGACATTTAACGGTAATTTCCAATTGAGCCGGCATATGCAGCGTTTACTGTGAATGCGGAACATTACCTTTAAAAGGTGCAAAGCTGACAAAGTGCGATCTGATTGAATCCCGGCCCTAGTATCACCCTCATTTTTAACAGTAGTATCAAGTCAATTTGTCTTCAATTATAATCTTGCATATACAATAATGTAGTAGATGCAATCCAATCAAGTACTACAATTACTACAGAATTAGGTTAGAAAAGGGTTAGACAGTGATGGTGAGAGTACATTTACTCAGTCCTACACATACAGTTGAAGTCGGAAGTTTACATACACTTAGGTTGGAGTCATTAAAACTTGTTTTTCAACCACTCCACAAATTTCTTGTTAACAAACTATAGTTTTGGCAAGTCGGTTAGGACATCTACTTTGTGCATGACACAAGTAATTTTTCCAACAATTGTTTACAGACAGATTATTTCACTTATAATTCACTGTATCACAATTCCAGTGGGTCAGAAGTTTACATACACTAAGTTGACTGTGCCTTTAAACAGCTTGGAAAATTCCAGAAAATGATGTCATGGCTTTAGAAGCTTCTGATAGGCTAATTGACATCATTTGAGTCAATTGGAGGTGTACCTGTGGATGTATTTCTAGGCCTACCTTCAAACTCAGTGCCTCTTTGCTTGACATCATGTAAAAATCAAAAGAAATCAGCGAAGTCCTCAGAACAACAGCAAAGGACCTTGTGAAGATGCTGGAGGAAACAGGTACAAAAGTATCTATATCCACAGTAAAACGAGTCCTAAAACCGCCATAAAAAAGCCAGACTACGGTTTGCAACTGCACATGGGGACAAAGATCGTACTTTTTGGAGAAATGTCCTCTGGTCAGATGAAACAAAAATAGAACTGTTTGCCCATAATGACCATCGTTATGTTTGGAGGAAAAAGGGGGTAGCTTGCAAGCCGAAGAACATTTTTTTGTTTTGTTTTGTTTTTTTAGTCATTTAGCAGACGCTCTTATCCAGAGCGACTTACAGTTAGTGAGTGCATACATTATTTTTTTAAAATTATTTTTCATACCCCCCGTGGGAATTGAACCCACAACCTTGGCGTTGCAAACGCCATGCTCTACCAACTGAGCTACACCCCCTGCCGGCCATTCCCTCCCCTACCCTAGACGACGCTGGGCCAATTGTGCGCCGCCCCAACCGTGAAGCACGGGGGTGGCAGCATCATGCTGTGGGGGTGCTTTGCTGCAGGAGGCACTGGTGCACTTCACAAAATAGATGGCATCATGAGGAAGGAAAATTATGTGGATATATTGAAGCAACATCTCAAGACATCAGTCAGGAAGTTTGGTCTCAAATGGGTCTTCCAAATGGACAACGACCCCAAGCATACTTCCAAAGTTGTGGCAAAATGGCTTAAGGACAACAAAGTCAAGGTATTGGAGTGGCCATCACAAAGCCCTGACCCTAATCCTATAGAAAATGTGTGGGCAGAACTGAAAATATGTGTGCGAGCAAGGAGGCCTACAAACCTGACTCAGTTACACAAGCTCTGTCAGGAGGAATGGGCCAAAATTCACCCAACTTATTGTGGGAAGCTTGTGGAAGGCTACCCGAAACGTTTGACCCAAGTTAAACAATTTAAAGGCAATGCTACCAAATACTAATTGAGTGTATGTAAACTTCTGACCCACTGAGAATGTGATGAAATAAATAAAAGCTGAAATAAATCATTCTCTCTACTATTATTCTGACATTTCACATTCTTAAAATAAAGTGGTGATCCTAACTGACCTAAAACAGGGAATTTTTACTAGGATTAAATGTCAGGACTTGAGTTTAAATGTATTTGGCTAAGGTGTATGTAAACTTCCGACTTCAACTGTACATGCCTTATTCCCCCACTCAGTGAAGAACCAACTCTTAACACAGGGCCCCATGTCACAGTTCTCATTGTCACTGGGTCGCAGCTTCATGTTGCACTCCTCGTCCGACACAAAGTCTCCCACGTTGCTGACACAGTGCACCTCCCTGGTCCTCTGGCCCACACCACAGGGAACAGAGCACTGGGGAAACACAGCATGGACAGGAAGAATACTATAGGGGTAAACAGTGTTCAGTTCATCTCATAGTGTAAACACGGGTCAGTTCTCTCTGATGGATGTAACCTGTTGTCTGTGAAAACAGATGCCGTGCAGTGGGCCTGAGACATGTCACAACTTGGAAAATACTCCATAGAATACTTGCTCGGGTTTAATTTAAGGAATGTTAGCAACTTTGGAGGAATGATAACATTTATCTAATTGGGTTTCATGTACTTTCTGATACATTGTTCTAATGCAGTATGGAATATGTTAAATCTTGTCTGAGTACTTTTAACTTTTGATTGAGCCTGCCTGGAGTGTCAGATGGGTGGGTAGGTTTACACTTTTAAGACTATTCTATTAGTTCAACGCGCCGAGCAAGCTCAATTAAGTGCATCTAAAATATTTGAAACAAATACTATTTGAAGCATATTTGAGCCCTCTCCTATGTGCTGACTGAGGGGTCAGTCAGCTGTCTTGTGATTGATTGACAGCTGTCACTCACGGCGCTCCACTCGGTGCGTATCTGCCACTCGCTGCAGATTTTCAGCTGGCAGGTGCTGGTGGTCTCAGGCTGCTCCAGGTGGCGGCAGCGGCTGGTGTGGACGTTGAGGGTCCGGTTGGCGTACACCTGCCTGCACAAGACCTGGCGGTGCTGCATACCCAGACCACATGTCTTACTGCACTCCGACCACTCACCAATGTCCCAGCTGCACAGTAGGACACACAAGGCCCCATGTTCAGAGGGACACAATAGCGATGTGGTACCAACATAGCTAATAAAACATGCGGTCAATTGTCCAATTAGATTCTAATTATGATCTAATTATTAGACTATAAAGAGGACGGGTCAGGATCTTTTCATGAAAAATATATGAAATCTGGGTCCTATGACTTCTGCTAAAGCTCTGTGTATGTATTGAAAGAGTGTGTGTAGTGTCTAAGAGCCCTGTATGTAATGTAAGTGTGGTTGAGACAGAGGGGTCTCTCACAAGGCAGGGCAGGGCTGGAGGTTGCAGGGCTCCTCCTGTGAACTGGGCCTGGTGCTGCTGTCACACTGGTTCTCTGGTACCTGCTCATGGCTCAGTCTGTGGACACAGCGGAAGATGGTGTACCTGCTACCTGAAAACCAATACACAGGAGAGCGTTAGATATTCATGACTCAATACTGCATCTTCACTACTCACCGTGGGAATCTGTTAAACCTAGTTGATCAACTAGTATCAATCAGAGCATCAGAGGTTGAGACCTCTTGGGGCTTCAGTTCAGACAAAGATGCATGCCATGTCTTACCTCTGCCACAGGAGGCGCTACACTCTGTTGCCCCAGACAGTTTCCAGTTGTATTCTCTCTGCCGTCTGGGTGGCTGGACCGCTGGCACCTGGTTGTTGGGTACCTGGGTAGGGTACTTGCCCCCTCCTGCTGGATCGTACCCCTCCTGGTTGGGGTTGCCATGGTGGTCATTCCCACCTTGCCCATGCAAAGTGTTCCCTGGGAGATTGAACATAGTCTTTCAGCCAACGAAACCAGGGGAAAACTCACAGTCATTGAGATGCAGCGCCATCAGTGGTTGTGACCCCCTCCTGTGTGGACTAATAATTCATTTAGGATGCATCAGTAAATTTGGGGAGCCTCACCTCCAGGCCTGTGTTTGGGGTGCTGTGGGTGGACTGGATTCCTGTGATCAGGGATGCTGTTGAGGGTTGTCGGAGGGAAGGATGAATTCATAGCTCACTCCTGGGTTGGGCTGTTGGTAGATCACCTGAGGACAGAGCAAAACTTATTCAGTGAACAAGTTAATTACAACATAATGTGCCAGTGTAAACTGCCAGAGAAATATGTGCCAATATGAGCTGTTACATACATAAACATCCAGGATCTCATTGGTTGGCCCCTCAGCCAGGAAGGACTCCCCGGCGGTGCTGGTGATCTCATTGGGTCGTCGGTAGGTGAACATGGTGCCCACTCCCTCATACTTCCCCGGCCGGTCAATGGCCCAGTTCCCATTGATGATGGAGCGACCTGAGCGGCTTTTCAGAGCTGCAGACAGACCATGAGTTGACTGTTAATAAAACCCACATTAAAGGAAAACTCCACCCAAAAGCTATATTTTGGTATTTGTTTTAGTCCATTGTTGACATAGTCCCTAAATGTCAGCACTCAAATTTTCAAGGTATATAACTTTCAAAATACAGAAATGAGCCCCATATGATACATTTTGCATCAGATGATGCAAAACGCAGCGTCATATGATTCAAAATGCATCATACCCAGACTATTTGCATTGCCCCCGCCCACCCTCTTTTACGCTGTTTGCTACTCTCTGTTTATTATCTATGCATAGTCACTTTAATAACTCTACCTACATGTACATATTACCTCAATTACCTCGACTAACCGGTGCCCCCGCATTGACACTGTGCCGGTACCCCCTGTATATAGCCTCGCTATTGTTATTTTACTATTGTTATTTTACTGCTGCTCTTTATTTTATTTTTTTGGTATTCTTTCTTTAAACTGCATTGTTGGTTATGGGCTTGTAAGTAAGCATTTCACTGTATGGTCTACACCTGTTGTATTCGGCGCATGTGACAAATACAATTTGATTTGATTTGATTTCTGTATTTTTGAAAGGAGTGAGCTATTTTCCTTTAAATGCTGAACTTCCTGCTTTACAGGAAGTATGGGGGCACTCAATATGGCCGCCGGTCCCCCCATCATAGAACAACAACTTGAATGGGAATGTCCATTCTATTAGTTATATGTCCATGAGACAGACAGTAACCCTTCCTGTCACAATCAGCTCTACTGTGCTTAGACAGACAGGAAATAATGCTGACAATCACTCTGCCATAACTGTTGTTTAATGTGAAGCAGTTTTAATGTAATGAGCAAATCAGTTAAAAGTGAGCGGTGTAATTACCGCTAACTGAATACATTTTGTCACATGTATCTTCAAAGCCGTGTCTTTTGTAAATGAGCAAACCTGTTAGTAAAGAGCTGGCAAAGCTTTATGTTAATTGTGTAGCTGAATCTCTGAACTCTACAGCCGCATAGGAGAATTCCATGGTTAGGGCAACAGGCCATCCGAAAATCATTAGACAAGTAACATTAAGACTACTGAATATAAGAGTGTTTGGACAACTAAAAGCACACAGGCCCCGTGTAGCTCAGTTGGTAGAGCATGGCGCTTGCAACGCCAGGGTTGTGGGTTCGATTCCCACGGGGGGCCAGTATAAAATTAAAATAAATGTATGCACTCACTAACTGTAAGTCGTTCTGGATAAGAGCGTCTGCTAAATGACAAAAATGTAAATATTAGCCATGCAGAAATAAACTAGAACAGAAGTCTATTGAGGAGAATGGGGCAAACATCAGGGGATAATGGTAATGATAAGTAGTTCAATGGAAGAATCCTCGGTTGTCTCCTGTTTCCATCACTCCTCAGAATGTTTGCATTTATCCCCAGGATGTTGCATTCACAGCAAGCTCTTACCCGATGACATATGAACTCTTCCGCCAACAGACGCAGGAACAGCAGTCACTGAAAGGAGCCATTATCCACGCATACTCTACATTTCCTGCTTAGGTGCTTACTCACTGAGTAAGTATTGTGTAAGGGTTGAGTAGGGACTCATTACAAAAGCAGGGCATAACTTGGCACCCCCATTTAGTCGTTTTGACTTTGAAAGGTAGTTTCAGAGCAGGTTCCATCGCTGGGCTCAGTCAGTAGTGTTGGTTTTCTAGGCAGCAGTGAAATTCCTCACCTTAATTAAAAAGGATGGGAAGGCTGGAGGAAAAGGTCCTCTAATGAAAGCTTGTTTATGTACTATCCCCTGAGGGGAGCAGCCAGGCCAGGGGAAGTGGGGGCCAGGCACTCCCTCTCTCTCTCTCTCTCTCTCTGCTCTGCCAGACCCACTGCTATGCTATGGCATGGCTCTCATTAAACCAATGTCTCCAACAATAAAACACTGACATTCCAGTAGTTATTCCTGAAAATAGACCCACTTCTGTGTCACACTGTTATGCTTCTATAAAGACAATAACTTATTTATTCAATGAATTTTGGCGAAGGGCTTTTTTAAAATAAAAGATTGTAACCAGAAGTGCACTGTGTGGTTACTTACTACTGACAACATAGAAATGCCCACATTTGGAAAATCCTAAATTCCGGAAAAAGCCCTCCTGCTCTGTATTTGAGCTGCCTTTTAATTAAATGAATCAATTCAATTTAACAAGCAGCTGTTCCCTGCTGCCTGATACCAGGCTCACAGCACGGATGTAGCAAGACATGACCTAAAATAGCTACTGCTGTCAGATATTTTATAACTTGAAGCTTATCTTTAAATGTTGACTTTTTATTAGTACCGTTAATGTAATGTGAATCATAATCTAACATGTGGTCGAAGGGAAAACCTAAAATTGTTATTGCATGTGTCATAGCTCATGGGCCTGATTCAGGCAGAGATGTATGGAGGCTCAAGAGGCAGTGGATAAAGAGCTGGTAACTCTGTAGCGAAACAGAGGTGTGTTGAGTGGTTGTTGACTGGTTGAATCAACATTGTTTCCTCGTCATTTCAATGAAATTACGTTGAATTGACGTCCGTGCCCAGTGGGTAATGTCTAGGCTTTAGCTCAGTGGGCTAACACAGTCTTGTGGCACACAGGAGACCCGGGTTAAAACCCTGGTCAGTCACAGTCCTACTCACCCAGGTAATTCCTGCTCTTCACCGTCTCGGTGACGTTGATCTTGGTGGCTCCCTCTGGGATCTCCACTATCTTGTGGTAGCCCACCTTGTTCAGGTTGTGCTGCTGGAAGAGCCCTGACACCAGCTTACAGGCCATGTTGTCCCCGCCACACACCCCACACTTGTCCATCACCTTGCCTGAGCCCAGGTACTCATCGCAGCCCAGACTCTGTCAGAGAGGGAGAAGGAGGTCAAATGAGGGGACAGAGGACATGTATAGCATCTCACTAATCAATACCGGTACATTACAAACAGTACAGTGTGTTTTTGTTGTAAGCAGAGGGACTGTAGGATTTTTGAGGTGAAGCAATTTTCAACTGTTGAGCTACTGAGACATCTGTTTTAACAAGCAACTGTTTTACCACTGAATTGCATGGAAAAGTAAATAACATGAACAACCTCATTAATCAAGTAAAGAGGGGAGAATGAGAGATAATAAACCGAAGCTTATCCCAGCATATTCATAAACAAACCCATGTTATTTCACCTCTCTAACTCCCTGACCTGCTGCACATAATTAACTACCATAACACAACAACCAATTAGTCTGAGCCCGGCTTCATTCCAACAACAGGCATATTCTTGGCACGATGCTAGAGTAGTAACGGCTCCCAAAGTTTCAGAGCAAATCCTCAGGGGTGTTAGCTTTCTCTGTCACATTGGCACTCATAAATTACAGGTAGCCTGGATACGGTAAGTATAGAACACTCAAATCAGCAGTCGATAAATCCAGCCAATCCAGCCGTAAAAGTAGTTTGCTGTGTGAACAGGTGCTGCAGGCAGGGGCCTGGTTGGGACTGATCCCAGCAGGCCACCATACTTCTATAATTCCAGACCCCTATGAAGTGGAGAGTAGACACTGGCATGCCAGGATCAGGATACGCCCTTAGCCCGTCACCACTCGAACCTCGAACCGAAGGGACGACCGAAGGGACGACCGAGGGAGGGTTCAGCAGGGGATAAAAAAGCAGTTTTGTTTTAATGACGCAAAGCTCCTCTGTGATTGGACGGCTGCCAACGTTAGTCTCTAGTCAGTCAGTATCTCTCAGGGAACGTTACGGTTAGTAGTCCAGTGAATAATCCCCCCCGTTCCTAGACATTACCCCGTCACAAACAATTTCCTCCCAATCCCAAGCCAGGACTAATGGGAATCTTGCCTTGCTAAACAGGCATATTTTCTCAGACCAACTGTATATATTATGTCCCAATATTCAAAAAAAATTTACACAACATTTTATGTGTGGTCCTTAAGCACGGGGAATAACTAGGCTTACATAGAATAATCACGCAAACAAATGCATATGAAGAGCAGACTACAGTCGTAATTAAAAAGGTTTTTGCTGTAGATTCAGGCTCTCTCAGCGGACTTCCTGGAGCTGCAGTAAGACAGTCCGCTGCAGGCTGGATGCAGGCTGGGACAGGGGGCTGGAAGAGGGAGATGGTGGCCAGGCCAGGGCTAGGGGTGGACTGAGGAGATTGGGGTAGACTCAGGAGACAGAAGCCTGGCTCTCGCCCACCCATAGCAGTGAGGTCTGCATCGGGCCAACACTCCACCCAGGCCAAAACAAATACACACTACCTCCTTCTACACAGGAAATAAGTGATGAGAGAGGGAATAGCAAACTAAGAGCCCTGAGAATTGACAAAACAGGGCAAATGTTATATTGGCCAATGTGGAATTATTCTAAGCACAAGGCTGACTGGATAAAAACGGATCTACAGTACATACTGTAGCCTATAGGCATTCAAATGTAAGATTGGTACATGATGAAAAATAGATTGTTCCATATGAGTTTACACATTATTATATTTTCATACATCACATGTACAGTATGCAAGGCTATCACAAAAAATTGGGATACCAAGTGAGTGGTATCTGTCTTCTCAATTTTCACCATAAAACACCCTGACTTCAAGCAACAACATTATCACAGATATCATTTCAATGTTTAGCCTTAATCCCAGGAGAAAGAGAACTGTTCCTTCCTTCCCCTCATAAACTACAGCCTGACAAGCATCAGCGATTAATGGTTATCTGTGGCCATTTGCGTGGGAAAAGCTCTGAATCACTATGTGTTAACGTGTGAATGGAGAGTCACATCATTTATTACCAGTAATCTGAGTAATCAGTCAATGTATGAAATATCATGTGACTAAGAGGCGTCAGTAGTGTTTTTACAAAAATTGTGCAATAAGGTTTTCCAAGCCTTTTAATATAGTAAAATGGCTTAGGGCATGGGACCGATACAGGAAGCATTGAGGGAATGTGTGTAGGGATTATTTGATATCAAATATTTTCACTGTTAATGTACAGTCCAGTATATCTTTCAAATCATAAACTGTCAAAACAGACTTTTGAAACAGATGATAGGCCATGCAAAACAGTGAAGCTAGCAGTCATCTGTCTCCCAAACCTGAAAACAGTCACCCAGGCTGTCCTTGATATATCAAATATAAATGGACCTGCATCACGAATTCATCAAAATGAGGTGTGTCAATGAACTTGTCTGGACACATGAACGTCCCCATGGGGTAAAGCGTGTGGGACTGTGCCCAAATCTCAAAGTGCACAATAAATGAGGATCCAAGTTTGGAGGGATCCTAGTTTTTCCCTTTCAAGGGGATCCACAGCATTTAAGTGCTCAATTTATTCAGAGACCACATCATTGCTTTTTTCTAATCTGCTCTCTGTGGGTGGTTTATAATTCTGCTTGGCACTGGACGACATCCCCTTTTCAGTAGAACTATAATGGGCCTTTAAATGTCACTAAAATCCACCTCATCTGGAAATGGTTAGACGTGTCAGGATGGTAGTCAACTACCAGTCAAAGTGAGGAACGTCGGTTGAAAACAACAGTCTTCCAATAAACCCCAACAGCACTTTTCCAGATACAATAGATGTAAGGTCTTATGCTTTTAGGAATTGGCTTGTCATGATAGGGATGATAATCCCTGGTTTAGTTCAATGGAATGAATTTATGAAATTCTACTGAACCAGCAGACTATTGGTCTCTTTCCATCATACCAGTAACCACTTTATAACAAATGTTTGAGTTTGCATTAATAAGGTTATTAGAGACCCTTAAACTACAGTCTCACTATGATGCTAAAGCTATCCTAATCCCAAGCCTGTCCTCAGCTGTGCAGGCGCCTCTTCTCAGAAATTAAGGTTTGGGAGCTTTAAAATGACTGCCTAATGCACTTTAATTGAGTGGGTAAAGAAGGAAGGAAAAACTGGCATTTATTTCATTGCAAACATTCACACACTGTCAAGAAACTGTTGCAAAGACACTCCATGTCACTTAATCCTTTTCCCACAGGCTTGGCGTAGGTTACACTTGCCTTGCAATAATGTTGCTTTTAACTGTGTGGGGGGTCTTGATTTGTGGTTCCCAACAAGGAATACAAATATGGATATAGAAAGGAGAGGTCACAGTGACTTCATGCTGGAGTTAACAGGAATGTTGGAAACATCTTACAGTCCTTAACTCGACCAGCCCCCATCTTTCTTTAACTGTAAAGACTTTGGGCTAGATTCTATTAGATCTGCGCTAGCCAACACCCGCATAGCGATTGTTTTGGCGGTGTCAAAGGTAGAACTGCGTTAGCTTATCATGGACACCGCTATTGGATGCAACGAAATCACCCGATTTTGTAATCCGACAAATCCCATGCAGCCGCATTAGAAGTTCATGCAGCCGCGTTACAAGTTCAAACACTGAAATGCGTGATGTTTTATTGTCTACACCTCGATTAGGCTGATAGACTATAAATCCCCCCCATCCAAATGAAATTGAAAACATGCATTAGAAGCCTACACTTTCTATCACCATTTTGAACTCCTAACACGATGGGGATTATAAGGAAGGGAGTGGTTTGTGACACAAAAGCAGCAACTCACTTATTTGTCAGCTCACACCACAGTTGCACCTCCAACATCGGCAAAACATCTGCTATGCGTATGTCTGCCAATGCGGGTTAACGCTCGTTCTGATTGAATCGAGGCCTTCATCTCCCCCATCTTCTGTAAATGAAGTAAATATGGTGGAAAAAGTCAGTAGCGGACTCCCTGCTAGGGTTTCTCACAGGCGGGTACTGGGACCCTGGGTTTAAATAGAGAGTGTTTGTGAGTGGATGTTTAGACAGAGAAATCCACTAATGACAACGAGATTGAAGCTAACGAGTGATTGACATCAACATGTGCAGATGGCCTATCAGTATAGGCCTATCAGGCAGCACTATGGAACACAAATACATCCAGATTCATGCAGCTGTTTCAGGAGCCCCATCTACACAAATGATCCATTATCAACCACATACTCTGCATATCAGGGACTCCAATGCAGACACTTTTATTCAGTCATTGCTGTAACTGACCCTGATACAGCTCTATCCTAGACCATAACTGTTCTGATCTCTGATCTCTACCATGTCCATGGCTTGAGGTCAGAACGTACTTGGGTCTGGTCAGAGCTTAGACTAGGGGTTCCCACGATATGTTACTCTGGGTGCCATGCCAGACCCACCAGCCTGGAAACCACTAGGGATAACTGACTAAAGCTTAACGTCAGAAGAGTCAGGAAGGTAGATACCTCAATGAGTCCCTGAGAGAGCACCAAGACTGCTCACTGAATACATGATCCTATAAGGATAAGGATTGACATTGACTATATTAACGCACATGGTCCCTTAACACTATTACAGGGTACACAAACTTAGACATGCATCCAGCTGTATCTGGTCACTAATACTAAAACATTTGTGTTTAATGTTCCAAGGTTAAAATCGTGCATATTATTTAACATAACATCTAATATTTGAACTCCTAACATGTTGTCTCAGCATGTTTATCAACTAAAAACAAACTAAATGAATGCTGCATTAATGCAATACATATTTATAACAATAACAGGCCCTAGAATTAAGTGTCAGCTAAATGGTTTGGACTAGCTTCACCAATTACATTTGATCAACTTAAATTCTTATGAGAATGTCTTCAGATTAAAGGCATTCTCCATTTATTTTCAAACGATAACACTCCACTTTGACATGAAAGAAACACACACAACCTGTCGACCAAATTTACGACCAAAGAGTAACAGAGGTTGTTTTGTGAACATTATGGGTACATTTTCAACTCTTCACTTGCTGTACATCCAGCAGAGAATTCTGCTG